AAATTACAGTGTGCCAAGCAGTGGGGTGTGTCAAGGTGTTGCCAGGCCTATAACTGGGCTTTTTTTTGTAGCATTGGTGCAGCAAAGGCTTCTTTCTGGCAATTTGACCATGCAGCTCTTTTTTGTTTAAGTATCATCTCCTTTAAACATCCACACCATCTTTTTCCAGAGCAACCTGTATTTCTCTTGAGGTTACTTGTCAGTTTTTCTTTGTATCCCAAACAATTCTTCTGGCAGTTGTGGCTGAAATCTTTCTTGGTCTACCCGACCACGGCTTTGTATCAAGAGATCCCCACATGTTTCACTTCTTCATAAGTGATTGAACAGTACTAACTGGCATCCTCAAGGTTTTTTTTTTTTTAAATTTAATTCCAGTTTTATTGGTTTTGTCATCAAAAAGGGTTACAGAAGAAAAATGAGGGGATGGGGAACAGTAAGATTGGGGACAATACAATAGGCATGGTACATTAAAGGTGCATGGTTAGTTGTTACATGTTGAAAATAGCTTGTTATAGAGACAGTAAATGGTACATTACTCTTTTGGTGTGTCACGTAACTTTTTGCTGAGGCCCAATCGTCTCCTACTTTCTCTGGATCTTACTATGATTTGTGCCGCTCGGGCCTCAACTTGTCGTTGTAAGCGAGTGGTGTACTCCTGAATCCCCTCAGGGGTTTTCAGGGGTTCTGGGGCTCCCTGTGGCCTGTGTATTAGTCCTCTCTTCTCAACCTTTAGATCTCGGGATTGGGATTGGGTGCTTTAACTGGGTGGTGGTGTGGGGGGGGGAAAGGTCTATATCTTGCATGTTCCCCATCATGGGGTGGCTGGGGGAGATGGGGGGTGAGAGGGAGGGTGGTTCCCATTGAGTATTGCGGTGGTTCATCATTGTTGGCTGTGATTAGTGTCTTTTTTGCCCAGTACCGTAGCCAAGGTTCCCATGTGATGGCGTATTTGTCATGTCGGCCTAGTGGGGACCAGTATAAGTTCTCCATTTCCCTCGTAGCTTCCACCCCATCTATCCATTGAGTCACAGTGGGGGTTTCTGTTTTTCTCCAGTGTAAGGGAATAAGGTTGTTTGCTTCCCCTAATAACAACCACAGTAGTTGCTGGGTTTTCGGGTTTTGGAAGGTTTGTGGCCAGCCCAGCAGGATTTGGGAGGGTGTCAGTGAGTGTGGAAGCATCTTGTGATGCGCTTGTAAAAGGCTTCACGTCTTGAGAGGCTAATGGAGGCTGTCATAGGTCTTGTTAGGATGTACTTCCAATCGGCGGGAGTCATGTGGATGTGTAACCCTTTCATCCACTGCTGGTGGAAGGGGGGAGTCTCTTGGACTCCTTGTGGGGAGACCAGTAATTTATATATTTGGGAGAGTGTGCGTTTGTGCATTGATTTGGCGGTGCATAGTTGCTCGAATTGGGTGAGAGCTCTCGGGTTCCAGTTTGGTAGTACTGTGCTTTGCAGAGTGTGGCGTATGTGCCCGCATCTTAGCGTTTCAGTGAGTGAGCCCTGGCCCCCCAATTCCTGTAGAGATTTGATATTGGGGGGGTGTCATTTGTCATCATGTCTCCTATAAGCGGGTCAGTTGTCCCCAGTATTTTCCTCAGTGTTGGAGCTCCCCTTCCCCCCAGGATATCAGGATTGTGTGCTAGTGGATAAAGTGGGGAGATTCCCGGAGATAGTCCCCATGTGGTTTTATGTAGTCTCCATTTCTTTAAGATGTGGTGGAGAAGTGGATGCGATATAATGGCCATTTTTTGCAGGTGGCATGTCTGCCAGGGTAGTGTGGACAGGGGTACTGTGGAGAAACTTTGCTCCAGGTCGTACCATGCTTTTTTGTGTTGGGTGTCCATCCACTCTCTCACTCTAATGAGGAGGGTCGCTATGTAATATTTATATACATGAGGTAGACCCAGCCCCCCTTCCTTCCTATTCATTGTGAGTGTGTCATACGCTATTCTCACTTTTTTATGTCCCCATATATAAGATATAAAGGCTGATTTCATTGTACGGAAGAAAGTATTGTCTAAGTCTAGTGGCAGAGTTTGAAAGAGATAGAGGATCCTTGGTAGGATTGGGATTGACTCTCCCAAAAAAGGAGAAGTGGGGTTTGTCCCATTGCTTTAGTTTGGATGTAATGTCGTGTAACAGGGGAGTGTAATTCATTTTATAGAGGCCTTTAATCGTGGGTGTCAGTGTGATGCCCAGGTATGAGAGGCCCGATTCTGTCCATTTATAGCTGTAGGCGTCGCTGATTTGAGTTTTGTGTGTCGCGTTCAGCCATAAGCCCATTATTTCGCATTTGTCTACATTAATTTTGAAGTTAGAGCAGGCACTAAATTTATCTATCTCTTTCTGCACATGTATGAGGGACTGTTCCGGGTTGGTTATGGTGAGAAGTACATCATCTGCGAAGGCAGATACTTTAATCTCTGTCCCACCCTTTCTAAAACCTGTAATGTTGTCATTGGTTCTGATGGCGTTGAGGAAGGGCTCCATAACCAAAACAAAGATTAGGGGTGACAGTGGGCATCCCTGCCTGGTGCCGTTGCTGATGTGAAACGGGGGGGAATCATGACCATTAACCCTGACCAAGGCTGAGGGGCCTCTGTACAACATTCAGACACCCAGAATCTGTAATTTGGTCCCATTCCCAATGCCTCCAATGTGGTGAATAAGAACTCCCAGTCTACCTGGTCAAAAGCTTTTTCAGGATCGACTGACAGGAGCAGTGTGGGGGTCTTGGAGGACAGTGCGCCGTGCATGACATTGAGGAGACGGGTCGTGTTGTCCCGTGCCTCTCTCCCTGGGATGAAGCCCGCCTGATCCGGATGAACCAGGTCCGGAAGGAGTGGTTTAACCCTATTGGCCAAAATTTTAGCAAAGAGCTTTAGATCTAGGTTAATTAAGGATATTGGCCTATAGCTGCCACATATACTTGGGTCTTTACCCGGTTTTGGGAGAACAGTGATTGAGGCCTTTAGCATGGGTGGTGGTAGAGCATCTTTGACCAACAGAGTGTTGAGGACATCTAGGTACTTTGGAATCAATATGTGTTGGAAAGTCTGATAATATATCTGGCCGTAAGGCCGTCTGGACCTGGGCTTTTGCCTTTAGGGAGGGTCTGTATTGCTATTCGGAGTTCCTCAGGTTGGATAGGTAATTCTAATTGGGCTGTTTGTTGTGGGTCTAGTTTTTTATGAGTGTGGGCTGAGATGTACGCTGCCATGTTATGTTGTGTGTTCAGTGGTTGTCCCAAGTTGTAGAGGTCGCTGTAGTAGTTTTGAACCTCTGTCGTGTCTTGGCGTATTCCGCCTTTCGTGGTTATGTGAGAAATGTATGTCTTTTGGTGTTTGTCCTTTAGGGCCCTAGCTAGATATTTCCCACTTTTATTGCCGTGTGCATAGTATGTCCCCTTAGTCAACTGGGCTGCCCTATGGGCTTTCGCTGTAAGGAGGTTTCGCAGTTCTATTCTTAATGCTGTTAGTGTTTTGTATGCGTCGGGTGTGGGGGTAGCCTTGTGGGCAGATTCTGCAATGTGTATGGCTTCAGTTAGGGATTGGAATCGTGCTGCTCGTTCCCGTTTTATGCGAGCTCCCCACTTAATCAGGGTCCCTCGTGTTATACCTTTGTGTGCTTCCCATACCCATGGTTCCGCGGTGCCTTTACCCACATTTTTGTGAAAGTACCTGGGCAGTTCGTTGGTCAGGTCTTCAGTTACCCCTGATCATCTAGCAGTGATTCGTTTAAGCGCCACGAGTTGCCCACGGCACTCTTTTCGTCTAGAGACAGTGTAAGGAATATTGGGGCATGGTCCGACCCTGTGATCGGTCCCATGGACGTGGAGGCTAGTGCGTGCAGGTGCTTGTGTCCTATCAAGAACATATCCAATCTAGAGTAACTATGGGCTACCTGGGAGAAGTATGTGTAATCCCTTTCCTGAGGGTGGGTAATCCTCCAGCAGTCAACTAGTTGGTTAGCATGTAAAGTTTTTTGGAGCAGCAGGCGTTGGTGTGCTAATGTGCCTTTACCTTTCGCAGTGCTGTCCATTGCGTGATCTAAGACTATGTTCCAATCGCCCCCCAACACCACTAACCCCTCTGCAAAGTTCTCTAGTTTTCTGAGGCATGATTTGATGAATGGGACCTGTCTATTGTTGGGCGCATAAACATTCATTAGGGTAATGAGGGTATTGTTGATCTTTCCTTTGAGGAAAATATACCTTCCCTGTGGGTCTAGTTTGCTGTCTTGGAGCGTGAATGCTCTTCTGGATGATAGTAGAATAGCGACCCCTCTGGATTTGCCTCCATGGTAATTGCTAAAGTACGATTGTCCCATTGATTTGGTTTTCAATAAGGGGGTCTGATCTCCTCTAAAATGAGTTTCTTGGAGGAATACTATATCCATCTGCTGTCTGTCTAGTTCATGCGTTAGGATTGTGCGTTTTTCGGGCGTGTTTAGTCCCCTTACATTCAGGGACATGAGTTTGAGATTATCCATCATAGAACAGCCAAGGGTGGGAGCTTCTCGGGCTTAGATGGTGTGATGAGGACCTATACCCAATGGGGGGGAGGGGTTTGGGGGAAAAACATAAACTGTGGAAACTATATACAGTGTATATGCAGCGTGCCTGCTGCGTCCAGATGGTGTCAAGCCCGCTGTGGATCATATGGATCCTGCGTGCTCTTTGCGGCACCTCTTGGGGGGTTGTGTGGTCTAGGCCCGTTGAGACTCCGGGCCAGCTGCGCGTGTGATATACATAATTCGTATATCGTTAGTGATCTTGCATTAGCTTATGTTAATATCGCTTATATCTTATTATGACATATCTGTTGATCGAATCCCAGATCCAGCCACGGGGATCTTTGGCATTGGGTCACACAGTAAACAGTAGATATATAGAAACATGTATATATATATAAACATGGCATTAACTAGGTGTTAGTTGAGGCAAGCGCCTCTATGGCTTAGGCATTGTTAGCAGAGTGAAAGGATATAGCAAGTCTATTAGGTCGGTCTCGTGGCAGTTCCTTTTGGTGTCGTGGGCAGTTTGTTTCCCGAGGGGGCCCATCTCCCACGTTTCCTGGGGCTGCGTTGCCATTTGGCCCTCTGGGGCATTTGCCTGTCCTGTTCCATGTATAGACCAGTCCAATCTTCCACCGCGTCGGTGGGTATGCCTAGGGCTTGTTGGAACATCAAGACATCCGCCGCAGTTGATATTGAGTGTGTCTTCCCTTGGCGATTCACAACTAAAGCAAAGGGGTATGCCCAGCGGAAACGTATGTTGCGGTCCGAGAGTGCTTTTGTTATCGGGCGCGGTGCTCTTCTCGCTATCAGCGTGGATTGCGCCAAATCCTGGAATATCTGCACTTTGTGGTCGGTAAATGCAATGTCTCTGATTTGCTTGGCTTTTTGAAGAATCGTCTCTTTGATGGGAAAATGGTGGAGTCTGCAAATGATGTCCCTTGGTGTCTCATTCGTCAACGCTTTTGGCCGTATTGCTCTGTGAGCGCGGTCCAGCTTAATGGGGGTGTCTAACGGTCTGCCCAGGAGCTGATTAAAGAGATTTGTGAGGGTTTGTGTTATGTTTTCATTTGTCCCTTCAGGGGCTTCAGGGATGCCTCTAATTCTGAGGTTATTGCGCCTTCCCCTATTGTCCAGGTCCTCTATTTTCCTTTGTAGGAATATTAGGGCTTCATTCTGGGTTTGCTGGAGGGTTTGCATGTTATGCATTTGCAGGGCTGTTGTTTCCCCCCACCCCCCCCCTTCCAGCAGTTGCACTCTATTGCCAATGTGGCTTACCTCCTCATGTAAGGATTGCAGCTTGTCTCCAAAGCTTCTTTCCATTTTGGAAAACATGGCTTCAAGGTCCAGTTTGGAGGGCAGCTGGGTCAGAATAGTTCTTATATCTGTCCCCTCTGTGGAGCTGTCTGAGGGAGCAGGGCTGGCAGGAGCGCTGCTCGCGGGAGATTTTGGACCGCATGTCTGTCTCCTGCTTCTCCGTGAAGAATCTCCTCTGGGACGTTTTGGAGGGTAAGAGGTTAGTGGAGGGAGTGCTGCTTGCTTGTGCCTTCAATCTTTTGGTCGCCATGTCTGTGAGGGTGCCGGGATTCTACTTATTCAGGCCAGTCTTGAGCGGAGCTCGGCGTTCATGCGGCCATTCACTCACCATCCTCAAGGTTTTTGATATTTTTTGATATCCTTTAACATCTTTATAAAGTTCCATTACCGTGTTACGCAAGTCTTTTGACAGTTCTTTTCTGCTCCTCATGGCTCAGTATCTAGCCTGCTCAGTGCATCCACGTGAGAGCTAACAAACTCAATGACTAGTTATACACAGACACTAATTGCAATTTAAAAAGCCACAGGTGTGAGAAATTAGCTTTTAAGTGTCATTTTGTGTGTCTGTAACTAGGCCAAACATTCAAGGATATGTAAACTTTTTATCAGGGCCATTTGGGTGATTAATTTTGTTTGCAAATAATGACATAAATACAGTCAGAGAGTTCACTACACAGAGGCACTGCAAGCCTTTGAACAAATAATACAGAGACTAGCTCTCTATATCCAGTGCTGAAAGCCTGCCCGTCAATATAGCTACAACGCATTATACACACACAATTCAACCCCTATTTGTTTTCAATATGGGTTTTAGTGGCGGGCTTCATAAAGTCTAGAGGTGCCTCTGGTCTCCAGTATAGGGTATATAATATTAAAAGGTCTCCTAGGTAGAGTATAAAATCCCTGAAGGTTTTTCCAGATAGTGTATATGATTCACAGAGATCAATTAAATAGAGAATACAATGAAGGTCAAAGGGGTGTAGATGGAATTAAATTAAGTCACAAGTCTGCTCATTTGATTAGGCATTTTTTCTTATGACAAAAACACTCCAACTATACTTATCTCCACAAATTTAGTTATGCTGTATTTTTTCACCTTTTTAATAATAATAATGTATGTTCTCTGTTTCACACTTTCTTTAAGCTTATCTATGTAAGGTATAGTATGTTGTATATCCTGCAATGGACAAATTTATAAAAAGTAGTCAGGATCTACTAGGGTTGTGCAAAAAGTCCTCATACATCCGTGTGTGCCCTACAATTTCCCTTCATTCCTTGCTTTAATTTAATAGACAAGTGTCTATTACTTATAAAACGTGTAACTTGTGCAACTGGCAAACTTTCTTTTCTCGTATATATTGTATGATTGTCATTAAATTTTGTATTTTAAAAGAAAAGAAAATATTATGAAAAAAAGCATAAAAGAAAAAAAAAGGAAAGAAGGAAAGGGAGGAAAACATTTTTTTAATAGACAAGTGAACTTATTGAGGGTAGGTTTGCTGCTTAAACAATACTCTGTACTAGAACTTTACACTCAGTCTTACTTCTTGTTTTAAGTAGACAATGCACTGAATATATATAGATTCTTTGAGAAAATTAGGAAATATTTCTATAATAATAAAAAGGAAGAGCATGATTAAAATAAAATACATGCCATTGAAATTTGATTGATGATAGAGTTCCTACACTGTTTGTACAGAATTGTATTAATGTAGAATAATATTGTCTCCATACTTGTAAAATATAACGATTTTGTGCCTGTAGCGGAGACCCGGTTACTTGAATTGTGAAATAAAAATGTCATGTATTCGGAGAAATGGATCCCTAGAAAGTAGAAACTTGATGTTGTATATTGAATGGCTATACAATAAAAACTGCAATACCGCTATTGTTTTCAAAATAGAAACAGCTGCCCCATTATATCTTGATAGAATGGTATTGTATTTTTATTTACACATGGAGCCACATTCCTAACAGCCATTGTTTCTGCAGTTTAAAAATATTGGATGTGTTTTTGACGAGGCCTTGCATCCTTTTTTCCCCTTTTTTTAAACTAGCTTTGAGATTTCTAGACGTATGCAGAATGAATAAACACTGTTTCAATAGTAAAATCCCTTTATGGCTCTCCTTGATTGACAATTTATTCATGAGGTAACAGCCATTTGAAGACTTTAAAGGTTTGTTGTGTATGATGATACCTCTGCGATTTGCTTGAGTTAGCATTGACTTCATTAACTGCAAATTTGGATTACTCTGGCATGGAGCATAAAAGCATTAGGGATGTGTTAATCAAGACTGTACTATTTATTTGTTTCATAGCCAAATGTTTAAATGATGCTACAGTGACAATTTACAGGTAGAGTTCGGCCATGGCTAAATATGTTTAATAACACATTCACACAATATGCATATTTCCTCTATGTAAAAATGGAAATTGAGATTGCTTAGCATTTAGCCTAACTGAATATTAGTGGATGTATTAAAAAAGTTTCTTTACAAAGCACAGTTCAAGACTAGAAAAACAGACAGAATCAGCCTAAATTTTAATTGACCATAATTTACGATCAATTGCTGTTGTCCTATCACATCTTTTATATACTTTAAATCAACTGAATTCTGACTACTCAATTACAAGAAAACGTGACATGAGTCAAATTCAGTTGAAAGTTATGCTGTACTTTTAGTTCTACTTTTGTTTCTGAAAAACAAAATATATAGATATACATAATTAAATATTATATACATGATCCATGAAAACACCAAGGCATAAATAATAAAGGTTTAGCTACAGAATATGATCAAACACTGTACAAGCCTGCCACAATGCCAATGTACCCCACTATTGACAGGTCCTATCCTAACAAACTTTCTCCTGGGTCTCTCTATGGTGCAATGTTAAATAGGGCCCTGGAATGAGGCACCTGTAACAGGGAGGAATGCAAAACCAGAGAGTTTGCCTGGACTCCCAAATACATTTACATGTGAAGCCAAGAAGGCTGCACTCACATGAACACGCATACATTATAAGGGTGCTGCTAGGGCCAATTCATAAAACATACACGATCCAGCACTTCAAAGCTCCCAGAATGTACCTAACCAAAATAATGGGGTTTGTTACAGTATATGATCATGCATTGCATCAGCTGTAAAATACAAACAAAAAGAGAAGCAAAACCTTCAGTAAGGGAAGAGAAAAATTTAGACTGACCCTATCCCTGTGCTGGTCATAATATTCTAAAAACCACTCAATATGTGGAAACACAACTTGACTTGTAAAACAAGGCAAGCCTTCCCATACCCATGGAATTCAAAAGCAACTATGCTGTTAATCAATGGTACCTATAGTAAGCAAAAGATAGGCCATGAACACAGGACGATTGCATATTATAGCTTGCTACACTTAGAAAACAGAAGGTATAATACTACAGTTACTTAACCAAAGCACCCAACATAAAGCCCGACAGGACAAAAAGTGGGTAAAGAGTAAGGAAAATTAAAAACAGATGAGAAAAAAAAATGGGGGCGAGCAGGAAGGAGGTGGAGAAAAAGGGTCATTCTGCAAAGATATGAGAGTCCCCGACCCATAACCCAATTCCCATTCCCAGCCACATGCAAGTTAAAGGGGCACTCCAGACCCATAAATCACTTTAGCTTGCTGAAATGCTATGTGTGTGAGGAATGGGTCCTATTTTTTTATTTTGCCAAAAGTGCAGATTTCAATAGAAATTGAAATTTTTATAAATGAACCTGGTTATGCTCCCTGGCTGTCAGTCAGATAATCAATCCTGTTACTTCCTCAGTTAGCTACTATTTAGGATATAGAGGACATGTAATAGTATATTGTACAAGGAGGCAGGGGGAGAAAAGATCCAATACAGGATGTGTTAAAAATATAAAAATATAAAAACAGATAATATAGCAAAAGAGTAACCAGAGACAGTATAAAGCAGAGAATTCTTTTTTTTTTAAAGTTATAGAAATATGTAACTAAATACATATTTGAGTTTTAACCGCAGCCTGTTCCTCTATTTACCACTATAACGTCTTAAAGCATAGAACTTAGCAGGGCTAACCATACAGATATCTTAATATCATAATATTCTATAGTTAGTAAGAGATCCTCTATTTAAAAAATATAAATAATTGAGAATACAATATAAAATAAGGATTGTCTTGAAAGCAATAACGTTTTGTCTTTTTATATATTTTATTAAATAAAAAAATAAATCTAGACATATAAAATCCATTACAATCATTCATAGCAGAGTTTATAAGATTAAACAATATGCTTGCAATATCATTGAAATAGAATAACATACCCTCTTGAACATGTCAACCTCTCTCAGTCATTATAAAATGGAGCAGCATCTCTGTCTCCAAAATCTCTCTAAGCGGTAATTTATTAAAGAAACATTGTATAAAAAAACAATATGTTCCATTTCTAACACCTTGTCAATTTGCAATATCTCTTAAAGACAAAGTACCCAGTTTAAGAAATACAACATTTCATTCTAAAACTTGAAATATTTGTGTTTGCCCATAACAGAGTCTAACTTCTTAACAAATCAAGAAAGTCTCACAAAAGTCCTTTAAAAGTCCAAATGGAGTCCAAAATATAGCAAACCAAAATTGGGTGCTGTTTCAGCCTATAAGGTTGCAACAGCTAAGCAGCAAAAGGGAGAATGGTTGCTGGACCCAAACTTGTTTGCTGAAATTATATAGTACTTAAAATGCAATTTAACATGTAATAACAAAAATGACCAAGTGTAAAAATATGAATAACCACTAAGTGTCCTTAGAGTACCTTTAATTTGTCCTGGATGGCTAAATATCTTTTAGACGATTGATCAAATGTAGTAATAAAAGTATCCACTTGTTGCCCT